AACTCCTAATCAATCCCTCTTCTACTTTCAGGCTGACTCTTCTTCCTATGCAGCATTCCATGTATGAGGGAAAACATGTGGTACTTCTCCTCCTGTGTCTGTCTGATCTCATATAGCATGACAGCCCAGTCATCCTTACTGCTGCAAATGGCAGGATTTCATTCTTTATGTATAAAACATGCGTGTGTGCACACATGCACACACTTAGTGTGGGGGCACACACCTTTGACTCTAGCATTTTGGAGTGGAATCAGGTAGATCTATATGAGTTTGAGCCCAGCATGGACTACATATCAAGTTCTGAGTCAGTCAAGGTTACATAGTAATAACCCCCCTTTTTTTTTGTTTGAGACAGGGTTTCTTCATATATCCCTGGATGTCTTGGAATTTGCTCTGTAGACCAGACTGGCCTTGAACTCAGAGATCAGCCTGTCTCTGCCTCCCTAGTGCTGGGATAAAAGACAAGTGTCTCCTTGCACAACAAATACCTACACAGAGATGTGGACACATGAACACACACTGAAAGAAGCTATCGTAGAGATGATTTTGCTTGTCCAGTGTCAGACAGCTGGCCTGGGCAGGGGGTCCTCAAGCCTCACTGACAACAGGAGCTCTTGTGATTACTTCACCATCTCTTTGGGACTAAGACACCTGACCTCACACAGTCAGTGACATCTGCTGTTGTAGGAGGCTGCTTGTTTGTTCCCAGCTGCTTGGACTTGAAATGACCACACAGAAACTGGATTAATTAAATCACTGCTTGGCCCATTAGCTCTAACTTCTTATTGGCTAACTCTTACATATTCATTTAACCCATTACTATTAATCTGTGTATCGCCATGTGGCTGTGGCTTACCAGCAAGGTATCCAGCGTCTGTCTCTGGCGGGGCTACATGACTTTTCCTGACTCTGCCTACTCTCTCTCTATATACCTCTTTCAGCCTGGCTATATTGGTCAAAAGCAGGTTCTTTATTCATTAACCAATAAAAGCAACACATACACAGAAGGACTTCCCACACCATTTCCTCTTTTATGTTTAAATAAAACAGAAGGTTTTAACTTTAACATAGTAAAATTACATATAATAAGACAGGTATTAAGTAAGAATTACAGTTACAACATTTATATCTACTTTATCTTTTATCACAACTAAGAAAAACTATAATTATAACTATCTATTCTTCAACTCTATCAAAGACTACAGAAGGGTATAATATTACCTAACTAAGCAGGAAATGCATTGTAAGCAACTTCCAAAACTCTAGAATTGACAGAGATATCTTGCTGCCTGGACAGCCACCTACGGTTCGTCTGTATTGTTGGGTCATCCATCTTCAGTCTACAGGCCCAGAGTATCAGGCAGACTTTCCCATGGAGCAGGAAATTTTAAAGACAGTTCCACCTATATTGGCAGTTTGTCAGTCTCTTTTTTCTGTGTTCTGTAGAATGTCTTGCAGACTCTTTTGTGAAACAGGAACCCTGTAGAACCCTAAAGAAACACCTTTAGGCAAGTTTAGCAGTCATTTTATGTCATTAGCATGTTTAGTTCATACAGCATAATATCAAGCAGTTCAGACAAGAGCAGTTTCTTGCTCAAATGGCTAACCAACTCCATAAGGAGCCTCTTTGATGCCCATCATCCTCTTGAAGTAGATTGGTGCTGCCAGGAGCAGATGTGTCTCATTGTCATAAAAAGTTTAGGTTCTTAAAATATGGCCTCCCAGCAGGGTTCCAACTGACAGCTTGCTTCTTTCTCCCCTGGCGACTCCATGGCATCTCCCTGACTCTGTCTACTCTCTCTCTATATCTCTTCCAGCCTGGCTAAATTCTGTTAAGTTGTTGGCTGAAAGTGGCTTCTTTATTAACCAATAAAAGCAACATATATACAGAAGAACTTCCCACAACAACTGTCCATCTTGAGAGTCTTGTTATTTTCCCTCTTCCTGGTCCTCCTTTGCACAGAACTACAGTTTTGGATGGTACTTTACTATGGAGGGTGAAAAGTAGAGAGGGAGAAGCCAGCTCCATCCTGTTTCTGGAGATGTGATTGACTGAGGGTGACTTTGCAGATTTCAACAGCACTTGGGTTTTCCAGAGAGGCATACAAGAAAACTACCTTTTACGATCCCCACGATCTCTGTATGCTCTACCCTCTGCCTTGTATAAGCCCTTTGAAAACACAATTTATGTGCCCCCCCTACAAGGGTAGTCAACAGAATACACAGATCCACACAATGGCCACCGAATCACGGAGGGGGAAACACAGGTATATTGTCCCTGCAGTGTGTCATTGCCCCAAGTTTCCGATTTCAGCACCACGGTGGTGGACAGCTCCAAGCCCGCAGCTTAGCAGTTCAGTGCTTAGAAGCAGATGCTAGAACTAGAGGAGAAAGGGATTTATTCCAGGAAACTGTAAAGGATAAAGGGGAAGAAAGAAGCAGGAGAGAGAGTCTTAGATGGAAACGTGAGCATAACCTCTGAGTGGTTACCCACCCTCCTCCGTGTGTGTGTGTGTGTGTGTGTGTGTGTAGTGTGTGTGTCTTGATTGGGCTACTGAGAGACCTTGAGCTGTCTTCCAGAGGGGTTTTGCATGAGGTCAGAAGGTTCTGGTTTCAGTATTGCTGTTATGGTCAGTGACTGACTGGGAAGAGTCAGGAGTCAAAGCATGACCATGCGGTGAGTGTGTGTGTGTGTGTGTGTGTGTGTGTGTGTGTGTGTATGTGCACATTCAGCAGGTGGCTTATCTCCCTGAGCAGATTTCACAGAAGCACAGTGGTAGACTTCTGTAGGTGCTCCAAGGAAGCCCATAGCTTCCAAGCTTTCTGAAACTGAAGAACCGACTGCGCCTGCACATACACTCTCCCAAAGCACAGGAGAGATCATGGATTCTGGGAATGGGGACCTGTGGATGAGTGCACAGCCCCCCATCTGTGACAGGACCCTGGTAGGACTGAGATCACTGTCTCCCCAAAGACCTGCTTATCCATACACAATTCCTCCACTACCCATGTTCTGACTCTTGCTTTTTGAGGTCACTCTTTAGATGACCTGCTTGCACATGAGCCCCCATTTTAGATCTGAACTCGAAGGGAGATGCGAAGAGCCTGACTGAGGGTTGAGCATCCTAGGGGAGCCCAGTGGCAGTGTTCAGGGTAAGGGAACCCTAAGGCTGGGGAAATGGGGACGACACGCCTGGGAAGAGCTGAGGTTCTCACCAGGGTAGGCTTTGAATGATAATAGAATTGTGTTATTTCATGTGTCTGTCTATCTATCCATCTATCTATCTATCTATCTATCTATCTATCTATCTATCTATCTATACGTGTGTGTGTGTGTGTGTGTGTGTGTGTGTGTGTGTATGTTTGTAAAAGCAGGTTCACATGGAGACCAGAGGACAACCTTGAGAGTTGGTCTTTAGGGGCTGTCCACTGAAGATTTTGGAAACAGGGTCTCCCATTGGCCTGGGCCTGTTTTCACCTCTCCAGTGCTGGGGCTATAAATACAAGCCAACACCAACAGAGAAGAACCTAGAACAGATGTTGTCTTCCATGTTCATGGAGGCATCGAAAGCACTCCGTGTACTGGTTGGTGAGGAATGGAACTTATTGGAGTTCTTTACCTGAAGTTATGGGGATTTCCCTCCTATCAATCTAGTTTGAAATATGTGTCCATTCCTGAAGGCTCCTTTGTTCTATCCCTTTTACTGCTGTAAAAGAGGAAGCTTTTGTTTAGGAGGCCACTGGAGCTGAGGGATTGTCCTCTTGGAGGGCTGCTGGGTCAGCTGCACTGACAACTGTTCAGGGGATCATCATGTGTCTGTCTAGCAATACTTTTAAAAATATTCCTTCAAAACTTTTTTAAAAAATGCTTCTTTATTATATCACTAGCTGCTAGATATGGTGGTGCACACTTTTAATTCCCGGTGCTTGGGATCAGAGGCAGTTGGGTTTCCTTGAGTCAGAGGTCAGCCAGGGCTATACAATGAAGCACTGTCTAGAGACAAAACACAGCAGAACACAATACAACCCAGCACAGGGAAGAATGGACTCAGAGGACAGAAAGATTTATTTTATCATCCAGGTGGTGAGGCTGTTGGTGAGGCTGGTGTCCAGGTTATGGCAAGAAGGTCTCTACAGTTTATGAACCATCAGGAAATTTAACCCTCAACCTTCTTTTCTCCTCCCTACTCCGCAGCTTGTTCTCCCCTCCCTTCCGTCTCTCTCTTTAGTTTCTAGGTAGGTTCTGGCTATGTAGTCCAGGCTGGCCTTCAACTTGTAATCCTCCTGCTCCAGTGCAGATATTTTCTGTTCCCCTGGATTTTGATTCAAACGGAGGTTATTATGTGCCAAACAAACAGGAACCTACGGTGTGTATGGATGGACTATTCCTAGGCACTAAGTACCAAGAGGAGGGATGAAGTTTTCCTCTTCTGATGTCAGGAGACCCAGGACTGTCTGCAGTGTCCACCTGCCATGTCTCTGGTAAACACCTTCAAGGGTGACCTGTGTATCTCTGTTGGGTGATGTGTGTTCTCTTCAGAGGCGCCACACCATGGCAAGCTCAAACTCCTGCAATCTATAAATAACTGCAGATTTAAAAGTCATGTTCATTCGCTAGACCAGGAATGAACAAACTGGCTCATTTGCGGGGTTTTTAACCCCAAGGTACACATGCTTTGTCGGGGATCAGATTTCCAAACTGTCATGTTTGCTTTTGATACACAAGCCGCGGTGTCCTGTGATCTATTCAAATACCCGTGGGTGCTGAGTGGAACACAGCCAGAATCTAAAGGTGACCTTGCTGAAAGGACAGTATTCCAGGTGGTAAAGAATCTCAAAGCCACCTGGGGTGGGGCAGAGAAATTGCCTTCAAAAGTCTCCCCCTTCCCTCTCTCACCTGTACTAAAATCTGAAGATGCCTTGCTCTAAATGGGGACGGGTGTAGCAGGTGAAGCAGGCAGACCTCACTGCAGATTTCTGATTCAAATACTCTGCTGCAGGTGCCTGATCTCCTCTGTTTTCTTCGCTGCAAACACACAAAGCGCCCAGTAGAATCACAGACACAAAGGCTGACAGTAAACAGAATCAAAGAGGCTCATACCAGAGGTCAGGAAATGTGGCTTCTATTCAACGTGTTTGCAGGTTTGTGACCCCAATTCTATTTTTCTACAATATGGGTAGACTGGAGTAGAATCCATGCTAGCAGCTGGGGAGAAGACTCAGCCAGTGCCCAGTGCACTGGAGAACCTAGGTTTGACCCTCGAGACCCAGAAGCTCCCGTGAGCTGGGGTGGGGCAATGCTCGCTTTCGACACAGCTCTGGGAAGACAGGGACAGGAGGGTCCCTGGGGCTCACTATTCTTGCCCCGTTGGTGAACTCAGTTCAGTGAGAGATCCTGTCTTTAAAAACAAGGTGGGGACTTCTGAGAAAGGATGGCTTGGCATGACCAGCCACTAGCTGTCCCCAGAACATCCACGACACAGGCTCCTTTTCCTCCACAGTTCAGGACAATCAGCTACACCATAGTACAGATTTGTTCAGGGCTTACCTCTGGTTTTTATAACTGAGGTAAAGAGGGTAGATCAACAGAACGTCTGGAGAGAGCCTGAGGTGTGAAGGGAAGAGGAAGCTGAGCACCCTTGCCTGAGGACTTACCTGGCTCCCACAACCTCTGCTTTGTGTAACTGGACTTTTTATTTGGGAAACTGTTTTATTTGGAATCCTTTCCTTTCCTTCCTTCCTTCCTTCCTTCCTTCCTTCCTTCCTTCCTTCCTTCCTTCCTTTCTTCCTTCCTTTCTTCCTTCCTCTTTTGAGACAGGGTCTCACTATATAGCCCTGACTGGCCTGGAATTCACACCCACCTGCCTGTCTTCCAAGTTCAGGATTCCCTTTGCTGCCATCCTTGAGTGGAGAGAATTTGTCACAGGAGCATCTGTAGCCCAATAGAGTCCCATGGCAGAGGCCCTTCAGTGAGCGGGGATGCCTAACAAGCTTAGAAACGTACCAGATGTACCCATCACTAAAACCCATCGCCAAGAATCATCTTAAACAAGTGGTAGAATATATTATTGAAGAGTCCACTGTGCTGACAGCCTTAAGTGCCTTCCTGGTTCCTCCACTGCAGGGCATTGGGGATGCTGACTGGCCACAGGCTGTGGGAGGCTGGGCGGGACTGTGAGCAGTACCTCCTGGCCACGCCTCTACCCTTCGTCCACTAGAGTCTTGACAAATGGCTGAATTCACAGCAGAAGAAACACCCAGGGACTACCTATGGTTTGCAAGTTGCCTGGACAGAACACAGACTCCCCCAGGCCTCTCGGAACCTTGGTACTGACTGAAAAATGAGACACGGAGAGATGTGTACAAGTACTGAAGGGCAGTTCAGAAAGGTCTTCGTGGCATCGCTCGTCCAGGAATCGCCTGTTTGCTGTCTGAGTCCCAGAGTGGCCTTTGCTCACTAGGGCTTCTCATTCTCTCTTCCTGAGGGTATTTTCTGTGTGACTTAGAATAAAGATTGGACTATGTAGATGTTACCATGGCAACTGGTGTTTTAAATAAAAATAGTGCTACACCCCCGGTAGCCTGTCAGTGTGCAATGTGCCTATCGGCATGAAGGGCCGGGACATCTTATTTCTTCAGCTCCCAGCATCCATCTCCTGGACTACTTCAGGCCTCGAGGGCAAGATGGGCTGCTGTGATGGCTGGGCCCCCCCAGGAAGAAAGTGGGTGCCGGGCACCTACAGGCCCTCCTAAGCCATCCAGGGGCCCCTACCGTTGTAGGAGGGTGTTGTATTCTGCTTTCTGGAGGGAAACTGATGGAAGACTCTTTCTAGGAGGAGCACAGACCCGATGGGGGTGCAGGTGTTAGGTCTGAAACCTGGGACAAAGGCTGAGTTACCTACTTAGCAGATCAAAGCAGGCTGCCAGGTTCTCCCAGCATCTTTTGGTTCCTACCTGTTACAGGGTCTGGCTGGCACATCCACCCTACCCTACCCTAAACTTCTCCAACCTAGGGGCTGGGCTGCCCTTCCCCCCAGCTGCCATTCCTTATATAATCCAGCTGTTTTGGTTACCTGTCTTTTTGTATTATTATTATTATTATTTTGTCTACCCTTTATTCTCCTGGCCTCTTGGTCTGGCTCTCCCTTTCCCCTCCCACCTCTCCTACACGTCCACTCTGGACTCCCCCAGATCTCTGCTTCTGGCTATGCTCTCCCTTTTGTCTACAATAAACTTTCTTTTGTACCATACCAAGGGGCAGCCATAGCCTTCCTTTTTTTATTTCTGTTTTTCGTTCATCTGGTGCTGAAACCCGGGAGCATTCATGTCCCTTTCTCTCTTTATTTACCTTTTTATTCAGTTAGTAAAGGTCATTTTGTAAGAGCAGCTGTGTGGACAAGCAGAGGACAGTCTTGCCCATGACCGGGCTGTTTAGGTGTCCCTGGGGCAAGAGAGTAGCTGTCCCTGACTGTCATTAGGTGCAGCTCCTTTCTGAGGCATTCATGCTGCACTGCCAGCCTGACTTTTTGAACAATCAAAACAAAAACTCCTGAAAACCCACAAAATCCCCAGGCAGAGAGCCAAGGGGTGAGCCCATGGCTTTAGAGGTGAGTAACTATCTAAGAGGGTGTGGGCCCCGGACCACGGCACCTGCCAGGGGCCTCCCTGCTAAGCTGCAACACAGTGGGTTCCACACAGATGAGACCACTGTGCTGGGAAGAGGAGCCTGACCCGAAAGTCTAGAGGTCCCTGAAGCAACCTTCACAGGTGACAGTCGGCCCCAGTCTTGTGAGGGCCGATTGGTGTCCTCAAGTCACAGCAACTGGGGAAGGGCTGTGTCGGGGAGGGCAACCAAACAGGTGTTTTCTGTAGGCATAGGCGTTTAAAGCTTGGTTTGGGATGCTCCTAATGCTGTCACTTAGGAGGTGGAGGCAGGTGAATCATGAGTTCAGTTTATAAAATGAACAAAAGACCAATCTAAAATGGCACCGTTATGCACAGTTCCAACTATACAGCAACTCTGGGAAAGGACAAGACAGTGAAGGATTGGGTGGTAGGTGTGTTTATGTGTGTGTGAGCAGAGTGAATATGTGTGTGTTTGTGTGTGCGTGAGCAGAGTGTGTGTGTGAGAAGAGTGTGTGTTTGTGTGTGCGTGAGCAGTGTGTGTTTGTGTGTGCATGAGCGGAGTGAGTGTGTGTGTGTGTGTGAGCGTGTGTGGTGTGCAAAGGTGGAAGTCTCCAGGGGCACTGCCACTACTGATCCTGACACACGGAAGAGCGCCAGCATTGAGTGAATCCTGACGTGAGCTATCATTTCGGGTGATAATGATGTGTCTGTGAAGGCTCTTCAGCTATAGTGAATGTGTCACCCTGGTCGGGGATCTCCATATTAGTGAAGGCAAGGAGCGTGATAAATCTCTTCATCTTTCACTCAGTCTTGCTGTCGGCATCAAACTTCTCAAAAAAAAAAAAAAGCAACCCCAAATCTATTAAAAACAACAACACCGCAAAACAAAACAGGTGGGAGGGCCCGTGAGAGGGCCGGCTGGGAAAGGAGTTTGCCACCAGGCCTGGCAACTTGAGGTCGATCCTGAGTCCCACATGGTGGAAGGAGAGGACCGACTTCTAGGGGTTGTCCTCTGACCTCCACAAATGTGCCTGACCTGTGCTCACCCCACAGTTAAATAAATAAAGACAACAGGAAAAAGCAACAAACCAGACCAGGAAACTCCACAGCTGTCTCCTGTTTGGATCCCTCAAAGCAGACACTGAGACCACGGTTTGAGAGAACTTTCCAGGAATCACAAGTCTAGGGTAAGAGAAGCAGGGGAGGAGCCTTGAATCATTGGCAATGGGACTGCATCTGCAGAAGGCCCAGGAGCTGTGCTGTGTGTGGGGTGACTGCTACACCCTCCCCTTGGCGGAAGGCAGCTGGGGTTATAGGAAGAGGGGTGGCAGAGGGAGGCATTAGCTCCCAGGCACTTCCCGGCTGAAAGGGCTTGCACCCCAGCTGCTCTGGCTCTTGGGTACAGGCATGGGGCTTAGGAAGGTTGTGGTGGTACTGAGGCAGTGTCTTAGGAACTCAGAGGTGGCCGGTATGACAGCAGGGTGTCCATTGCACCTGCCATGTGTGTATTTGAGATTTATGGGAAGAGTCTGACTTCAGTTTCAGGGTGTGCGTTATGACTCAGGTTTGGGGAGAAGTGGCAGCCATGGGCACCTGATGGCCCAGGGCTTTCACAACACAACCCACTGATAGGTTGGCTAAAGCAGCAGGTATTTCTTAGGTGCTTCTTTGTTTGCAACTCAGAGGTTCCGGATTAGGGTGCTTGCTCCCTTCGCTCCCCCTGCCACCCCAGCTTGCTCCCCCCTGCCACCTCAGCTTGCTCCTCCCTGCTACCCCAGTCTGCTCCCCCCTCCCCCGCCACCCCAGCTTGCAGACTGACACACCTGCTGTGTCCTCACAAGGCTTTCACATGAGTCTCTATTTATGAGAATACTGGTTGTATTGGATTAAGGCCTACCTTCATGACCTAATTTAGTATTAATTACTACTTTAAAGGTCCCACTCAAGTGCTCAGGGGGACACAATTCAGTGGACAGTTGGAAAGAGGAGACATCCATAGGCTCTGCCTCTGTCTGTTGGTACTAGGAAACAGCTTGGTGAGAAGCCAAAGGCCACACAGCTAAAGTGGCAACATATGTTGAATTGGAATCAAAGCTGTGTGCCCAGGGTGCCTAACACACCAGGGACCTTCCAGACCCATGGCCTAGCCCATGTCCACCATGCCTCCAAGTCTAAGAAGTAGGGATAGCCTTTGGTTCTGAGGCCTACGCTCCAATGCCAGCCTTGCCGCAGGCCTGGTGAAAGAGCCTCCTTCTGACCCCAGCTGGGCAATCAGCTAGGTTAGAACAGAAGGACCTGCTCCCCTGCGACCTATTTCTTGGGTTGGTAAAAGGTTTGGGAGTACGGGCACCTGTATCTGTTAGTGGGCCAGGTATACCGAGCTCTCCACGAGGAAAGCAACTTGGCTCATATCCAGAAGTTCTCAGAAGTTTCTTTGCCATAGTTTCAGAAAGGAACTCCTGGACCCAAGATTTAGCTGTGAGGAGAAACCCTGGGTTGACTTCTCCTATTTTATCTTTATTAACACCAAAACGATTAATACCAAGGGACCGGGCAAACAACACCTTATTCAAGGGAGTGTGCAGCCACAAGGCAAATTCTGCAAAGAATGTTTCATGAGATGGATTTTTTTTCACACTACCAGAATTTCAGAGCACCCTTCCATGTGGCCCTATCCCTGCTAAGGATGAAGAGTCAGATGAGTAAGCCAGGAGAAATCAGTGCTTAGACGTGAAGGAGTGTGGAGATTTTAGGTCTTCCCCTCCCAGGCATGTCAGCCTGGCAGTTAAAAATTTATTCATTTTTTATTTTGAATGTATGAGTGTTTGTGTGCATGTATATAGTGGAACCACATGCA